TCCGCTACTGAGATGAAAGTGGATGACAAAGTTCACTCGCCTCCAAACACACACACAGGCAACCCCATGATAATATGCGTTTTGCAACTGCATAAATATGCAAAAGCAAAAAAAAAAAAAAATGAAAAAATTCGATAATTTTATGGTTGCAAGAAATTTTGAGAGCTTTGTAATATTACTGAAATCTGCAACTAGATCCCTCGATATTTCATGCTTTTTGGGGCATAATATAGCCCCTGGATATTTTTCCTTCGATTCCTACGTCGTATTACAATCTTTCTATGGCCTTTCTAAATCCTTATATCACATTTCTTTCAAAACTGTTGTTTTTCCTCGCCAGCAGGTAAAAAATTCTAAAATTCCCGACAACACTGAGGACAAAATTTTATAAAACATAAAATCTCACTTCAGAGTGAAGTCGTGAAATTTCAACCGGCTGTCCATATGCATCGCCTCGATCCTGGATCATCTCAGCAGTACGATCTTTATGGGCCGGGCCATTATCCATGGCCGCTGCCATATAGCCATAAGTTAGTACTGCGTGTCCAGTCAATGTGGCCAGTGTAAACAGTCGTGGTTTTGTTTCCTTTGCAGCCTGCAAATCCGTGTAGACCCTTCTCAAATTCGGCAACAACTTGAAAAAGAAGGATGAAAAGTTTAAAAAAAATCGAAAGATACTAACAACGACAGTTCGATAATATCGGTTACATCCTATAGGTATGCCACCAAATAAGCAATGAGTGTTGGGTAATTATTACAGTAACGGAATCGACTTACCAGTTCTACCATCCTTGTCAGTGGATCCAGCATGGTAATACGTCCTTCGGCATCAGTATTGTAAATTGCTATACGTTTTCCACTACGCGATCGTATTATCTCATCGCAGGTATACGAATTCGAACCAATACTGTTACGTACCATACACATATAGCCACAGAACTACAAGCAGCAAAAGCAACAGTTCACTCGTCATCCCAATTTACCGCATTCAAAGTCCAATAATAATAATAATAACGATAATAATAAATAATGGTAATAATAATGACGACAATAACAATAATAATGATAGCAATAAAAATAATGATAACAATAATAGTGACAATAATAATAAGAACAATGATAACAACAATAATAACAATAACAATAATAAACAATAATTATTCAAGGAATTAATTCATAATTATACCTTTATGCGTTTTGGCCGAAGAATATTCAAAATTTGGAAAATGCCAGCAACCACAGCAGCGCCATACTTATCGCGTGACATCCCGAACATGTTACCTTCGGTTTTCAAATCCGCGCCACCAGTATCTATTGTAACACCTAAACAGAAAAACGGATGTGAATATCTTCGACAAATATTATATACGCAGATTGACCAAAATTTACTCAATGTTTACTGTGTATACTATCTACAGAGAACGCAGAATATATATAGGGATGGCAATTTTTGCCCGAAATACGGGTTTTCCTCATGTAAATCAAGCGAACTCATTCCCCGAAAAGTAAAGAGCAGCCCATCTTTATGCAGCTAACTGTGAACTCATAATAAAAGTACAAACGCGTTTTGTGAAATATGTGTGTGGTCAACAGTTGACCACACCGGGCGATAAGCACTGGTCAAAGCAACCAGATAAAGTTTTCAAGCTGCATTGTTGGAGGAACACACAATGAGCAACAGCTAGTTCATTTATTCCAAATGTCTTTGAAAAATGTTGATAACATAAAAAATGTGGAATTTAACATATTTTTTTTCTTTGGAAAACAAGGATTTATCAAGCGCACATCAAAAAAAAGACCTTCCCCCCTCCTTCCGTTGACTGTGACAATATTTTCATGCTGCAGTAAAAAGACCGTTATGCAGATATTGAAAGTCTGAATGCTACTGCTTACATTAAGAACCGAAAACTCAAGAATGCATAAAAAGGCACCTTAGGACAAATTTTTACTGGCAGTCTTTGCGTGATAATTTCACAGAGTTAAAAACAACCTTTGCCAACAAGCATAACAGTTTCATCGTACGGACCCTCCGGCGTATATTCGAGCCAAATTAAGTGCGCCTGGTGCTCCTTAACGCTATTTGCTGCTCGATTAACAGCAGCCATTAGTGGGTGCTCACGTTCAATCTCCTGAAATTGCAAAAATTTCACTGGAAAATGTGAATGTGTCCAGAAAAGTGGGAAAGTTTGAGGGGATGTCTATATATGAAGTATCACGTGGATGTGTCAAAATCAGAATCTCGGGGAATGGGAAACGTTGCCAGTTTCATCGATGATGAGGAGTACAAGAATGGTAGATTTCATTAAATATAAAAAGCGAAACTCGAAATTCAGGTAAAAACCGCACTTTGTCCTCAAATTCTCACTTTATTCACTTATTTTTCCTCAACTTCATACCCTCCCTTGCTGTATACACTCGCTTTTCTCTAAAAAATTTTTTAAATTTTTTCAATTTTCTACGCTGTCCCGCCAAACAATTTGATATCCAAGCACTTACAGCAATATCGGAGACCACCTGAG